GGTGGATGTCGAGGTTCATGCCTTAACAGAAATCAAACGGTCACAAGTCTGTCTGCAGAGACAGATGTATTTGGGTATTTTTTTCCGGCTGTTAGTCTACCGTCTGTCAATCTGGGTTATACTTCAGAATAAGGTTCAGGACTTGTCTGAAATCTCGATATTTAACATGGGCCAGACTAGGGACACTACAAATTCATCAATAAATCTAACTTTATTAAACAGCAAAGAGGTAGATTTGATCGCTCGGACAAGATCACATTTATTTCTTCTCAATTACCTCCTGGGACACGTATGTTCGCTTGTGTTTGGAAAGAATGTTATCGCAACTGTGTTCTGTTTGACTTGAATGTCATAAATGGGCTCTTTCCAAAAGTGGCCTTTAAAATTTTAATATCCCTATACATTCTAACATGCTGGCACTATCTGTCTCAGTCATGTCTCAGCTCAAAAGATGTGCATTTAAAATTAACATTGAGAAAAACACTACTTGATCGTTGGGAAAATACTTTTCTTCGCCTGACATTTCGAGATCCGTCGCAGATTCGTCATCAGAGACATAGTCAGATAGCAGTAGCAGACAAAAGGGAAACCAGAATGACAATTTCTGGCTATTAGCCGTCATCAGCTAGTCATATCCAATCTCAGGCGTGGCAACCACAGAGATTCTAACCCGAGATCTTTGGTCCTTGCTTATTAAATGTTACCAGAAATAATTTCTATTCTGTAATTCTGTTTGGGCTATTTGAACGGAAGTGGGGCGGATAAATGAAGGTGATTGTACGATTAGAAAGTCAGATTAATATGTGTACTTCTTTTGCAGTTGTCTCTTGTCATTCGCGCGCATTTGGTTCAAACAAACGCATATTAAATCATCACAACGTCATCAGTACGTTAAATGTCAAAATGTGGCTAAGGATTCACAATTAACGGCCTGGTCTACGAACAAATCCAGGGGACCCGGATGGGCTCTACGATCCTTGGCTATCTCACGCAGGTGGTCCTGCAAGAACCACAAACGCGAGTCTTTCGGTCGGGTTTGTCCGATAAAGCAAAACTGTGGATGACACATGGATGGCACATTTGTTTTCCTGCGCCGAGACGCGAAGGAGCCCTTTAGAAGTAAGCTGAACTCCATTTTCCCTGAAATAAAATCTATAATGGGGGAAGAAAAGGACGGGAAAATTCATGTTCTGGATGTCCAGCTCTCGCGGACAGGAAGATGGAACGCTACACACCGCGGTGTCTTTCGAAAAGCGATCAATACAGAGAAGATCGTGCATTACAACAGCAACCGCCCATTGTCGCATAAACACAGTTGCATCCGGACAACTTTCCTATGCATCAACATCCATTACAACACACAGGCCGAGAAGCTTCGAGAACCTATGTCTCCAAAGGATATCCGTGGAGCTTCATGAACAAATGCTTGACTGACGGAGAGCATAAATGAAAATCCGACATCCTCCCTGCCCTGCCCTATATGAGTGATGTCTTTGAGGCCATTGGGCGTATACTAAGACCTCCCCTCAAGTCTGGTGCTTGCTATTGCAGCTCAAGGAGCGCCTACAGCCTGAGGACATGTCGGGAAATGTTTGCGCCAACGCAGGTCAGTGGTAAGCATTCAAGGCTCGCGAGGAAGTTTATGGGCGTGGCATCGGTGTGGCTGAATTTGATGCCCTCAAATGGTAAACTACTTTCAGTGCTTGGTAGACTCCTTTTGCAGGGATTTATAAATCTTTTCGACGCATTATTTGCGCTAGTGGGAAGCTCAGCTCGCCTTTTCAATCTGGCGGTGGCTCTTTTTCATTGTAGAGAATTTTCGAATATGTTTTCAGGCAATGCTGAAGCGTATCGAATATTGTTGCTGCGAATGGGGAAATAGGAAGCTGGACGTCTGGCGCTGGAAAGCACGAAATCCCTATCTACGTGCAAGTAGCCTACTTCAGCAGAGCTGACCTAAAACGAAGGAACTTCACAACCTGCGGCGCTCGTGAGTCGCCGCCTGTTTCTGTGCGAAACTCTCCCAAAGTCTGGCGAGGTTAGGCGTTTGACGTCCCGCTAACGCGAATAACATACCGAATAGAGTAAAGTCTTCGAAAAGGAGCAAGGAAATTGGCCTACTATCTAAGGGCAAAAAAGTCAGCAACACCGAAGCTACGCTCACATACCTCCTCGCAGGCCTTGAATCTGCTTTGCTGAAGACGTGCGCGCGGACATACACAGTTGCACTCCCTCGACAAAAGGAAAACCACCAAGTCTAGCCCCGCCGACGAAGAAGTGGGATTACAGTCTCTAAAGACCGATAACAGTATGGTGTTTGTGTCTGCTGAGAAAGGTGGCAGAAGTGTTAGCATGTAAAAGACGGACTACGTCAACAAAGCAAACCAAGTCTTCAATGACAGGAAAGCCTACACACCACTCGCGGAGGATCTAACTAAAAAGCAGACCGCGGCTCTGAAGAAGAAAAAGAAGGTTAGTGAGCTCCCGTTTTCCATGGGGTCTTTCCTTACTGCAGCAGCGATGATCTACTTAGGAAGGAGATCGCTTACCTGTATGGGTTATTCGGGTTTTAATGGATAGCCGGTCAGCTTTGTGGAAAAGTGGGTCAGACACCAGAGACTGGCACAAAGCTCCGACTCTATTGGAGAACCAGGGCCACGAAAATTCTAATCTCTGTCCTATATGCGCCGTATTTCCGAAGCTACCACCCGATAATCCAACCGGTTTAGCATTTCTATTGCCAACAAGCCAGCATTGTCCTTACGCGCAACACTATCTCGAGTAAAAGACCCCAAATAGCCCAAATAGCAGTAGAATAATGTCACCTACCGCCTTCCGTGTACAAACTGTTCTTGAACATATCTTGCTCATATAGACTGACGACTTGGGAAGCGAGCCATGCACCTAAGTGCCCCTCTGTAACTCATGTTTGCGCACGCCCTCGAGTGCGGCCATCGCTCCAATCGGGATGAAACTCAAGTGGTTGCCATGGCCAACCCCAACCAGGCGCGATAATTTCTCAAAGTTCGGCACCAACAACGTCAACTGCCACTTCGATCTGGATGCACACTACGAAGTTCTGCGTGCACGACAATCGATTACCTGTGCTCGGCTAAGTAGATTTTCACTGATTCTGCATCCATCTGACACGTGAACCGCAAATGAAACGTTCGCACCCCTCGTTTCACTCACGGCACGTATAGCAGCACGATTCGCTTCTATCTAACTCCCCCTATAGACCTCAGCCCTTATATGTAATCCCTGTTCCCAAATCATCTAGTGCAACAATCCCAACTCTCACTTCTCATTTCGTCTGATGACGCGTTGGTGAAACCAGTATGAAAATTCACAAGCAAACGTTAACTTTTATGACGAGCCTTCATTCCTGAATATATCATATCGCAATGCTTTCTGTGAAAAAATATCTAAATTTATAAGCGCATCGAACATCAGCAGGCAACGCCTACTACTTACGCAGAATTTGCCGCTGACCGAAACGAAATTCAGTCTAAAGCCGACACTCTAGCATACGCAAGCGTACCCAAATTGTCTTGGGATTATGTTGTACTGCCAAAGCTTCAATTAAGTGATTCTGCATAATCATGAATTCAAGCACAGGCTGTATGCCAAAGTGATGTTATTGCCGGCAAAGACAAAGAAGACTGGAATGACCATTTCTGGCTAATTAGCCATCATCAGCCAGTCATACCCAACCCTAAGTGGGGCCCCACCCGAGGTTTAAAGTCTAACGCTCTAACCATTGAACCACGTGCTCGTTGTCACGTCAGTTTAAATCGGAAAATATTGACACTGCTTGATTAACGTTCTGGATAGTAGCATGTGGAATCGATATCTCTTTTGGATAGAAAATAGGCGATGGTGCTACTACCTTTTCAGGTAATCTCTTCTACAAAGTACCATGAGCAACACGTCTGTTGAACTCGCTCAGCTATTGGGCAGGCAGGATAAGAACAATCTGCCAGTATGGTTCTTAAGTAGCATTTACTGACAGAATGTGCGACAAAGTCATCACATCAGAGGACAATAAATGTGAGCCGAAACTATAAACGCGGAAGGAGAGTTTAAAGTACACTTATTAATTAACGTTCACCAATCGCTAATGGAACTCAGTCGCCGTGCAGCTGTTGCCGGGGCATGCCAGAGGAAAAATTTCAAAACAAAGCTTTAGGATAAATCATTTAAAGTACGCATTTTTGTGGTAGTTTTACGTAGTTAGAGACTGTCACGCATCCACAGGTATCTTATAGCCACCAACGACGAGTACTTTATAAACAATAAAAACCCCAAATTACACACGGAGCCGTTAGTGCCCAGATTCAATATATTTCGTGAAAATATAACAGAAACGCCCAGTTAGACTTCGGCACAACGGCAAATGCATCGCTAGTCCCTACTTATTATGTCTTATGGCTTAAACTACTTCCGCGATTGTTATCAGCCTCGGACTGCACGACCAGAAACCTGGCAACGCTGAGGGAAATCGTGTTCTAGTGGACAGAAACACTTGATAAACTTGGAATAGCTACATAGCATAAATTTGCACGCATGTCAGATAGGTGGGTGAGGGATGGTCCCTGCGGCGCTTGCATGACTGTTAACTGAGCGCGCTTTTTAGATCCAAATTTCCTAAAACAGACCAATATATTATTTCCCTTGCTTAACTGGGATCAAAAAATTGAACTGCCCACTACAGAATCCCTTATCAAATATTAACTGAGCAGTACTAACAAGTGGGCACTTAATGAACCTGGACACGGTAAGCAATACAGTCAACAATGTGACGCAATGGAATGTAGTCCTGAACATTCAGAGCTCGGAATCTCTGTTCTAGGCTCCGATTAAACCTTCTCGATGAAAGTAAACAGCCCCACACCAAAGCAACGTGAACTACTGCAGTTTTAGAAATGAATTTTTTTAATGTCCATGTACTTACGGCGCATCAACCCAAGAATAAAGGGGCCGGTTCAAGCCTCCTTCTGGCTTCTTAAAAACACAAAACGAAGCGGCCCAAGAAAGAGTTGTTTTTATCGAATATAATCATAGACTGCACCAAAATATACGTAGAAATTTCTTCGATGGATTGTTGAATTTTAATTGACTGTTTAAATGCAAACGCAGTCAGTACTGACTGCCTGACGGGTCGGTATTACCATCCCAGATATTTTCTTCTAATAAACAGCGATAGCTCAGAAGCGCAAAAACAATACTTTTGAAGGAAGTTGGGGAGCACGTCTTTAAACACAACATTTATTCAACAACAATTAAAACGACGGAAGTGGCTGCTAACAATTATATCTGAGCCAGGTATAAACGGTAAGTGTACAGATAGACAGTACTAACTAACGTGATTGGAGTATCAGGAGAGGTTTTCCTCAAGACGACAATTATATGCAGCTCTTTATTAAAGTGACAATTTGCAGTATGGTTCATGTTG